GGAACCCACCAAAAAGGCTCATGGGGTCTCATGACTGCACCAAATCCCAGGATACTCTTCCTTGTAGTAATCAATATTTGCACTCAGATCAGCTAAGTTTTAATGGCACAGATAAAACAAACTCTTCACTGTTTCTTTATGCCATATCAGTAAGTAGCTTTAGTTTGTGAAAAAATTGTTTTTTATGTGGTACTTATTTCTGAGGGCACTCTAGTGGCACAGGGAAGGAAGATGGGGCGATCTACTTCCATAAAGATTTACTGCCTTGGAAATCCAATGGGGGTCGCTATGGGTCAGAATCGACTCGATGGCAGTGGGTTTATTTATCTCTGAGAAATGAAAAATATCTCATTCATCCTCCCTTCACCTTGTGAAGGTGGGCTTTCAGCTTGTGGCTAACAGATGTTTCTTGCTAAGGGAGAATCCAACCACAGGGGTGGCCATGTTGCTAAGGCCATGCAAGGGACTGATCACGGCAGACAGCTGATGGTGGTTGCCTTACCTGGTGCAGTGCAGGAAAATTACTTAGTGTGGCTTTTCTACCCATAAGTCTTTGTTAACTCCAAGGGGGGATTTGCTATGAGCAACTGAGGAGCTCCTGATTGTTAAAGTTGTCCACCTGGAGTATTTCTGTTGGGAGTGGCACAAAACAATGTTCTGGGAGGTTTTCACTCTCTCTCAGATGCTTAGAGTTCTGATGCTATGATTAGCTAGTTTGGTCACTCTGCCAGGCTCAAAAGGAGGCCTCCTAGAGGCAGAACTCTCTCTGACTGCTGGTTGAGGAAGACGTGCTGTTGAAAGAGAAGGTGTTCCTGAGAGACACGTGCTGCTGGGAAAGAGCCACAAGAGACACGCATTGCTGAGTAAGACACAGAGGGACATGCACTGCTGGGGGAGAGACTATGAGACACTTGGCTGACAGATGGTGGGCTGGGAGAGAGATTGAGCATTTTTCCTGAACTTGAAATATAGCCTGGTGCTTCCCTAATAAACCCCATAATCTGTGAGTTCTGTGTGGCCACTGCAGCGAATTATTGAACCCAGGAGAGAGGCGGTGGGTACTTTGGGAGGAATGGTTGGAGAAAGGGCTGGAGGGAGGTAGTATGTCTGGCCTTGCAGGAATAGGCCTTGGATGGTGATTCTGTCTTCCTCTTGTGGGATTAGAGGAGGTCAGAACATGTGGCCTCCTTGCCCTTTTTGCACCTGGGTAGGGCTGACATTCCCAGGCATCCAAGAAAGGAGAGAGAATGACCCCTCTTTGCAGGGACACCCAGCAAGACAAGAGAAGAACAACTTCTAGCAACTGAATTTGTAGCAAAAATAGAAGAAGCAAAGAATGTGCTCTTGGCCCTACTTATTTCAGAGTGAGCTGGAAATTAAATGCACTAACCTGGATATCCAAGGAGCTCTGGTGGCACAGTGCCTAAAGCATTTTGACTGCTAACCAGAAGGTTGGCAGTTCAAACGCACCAGCCACTCCGCCGAAGGAAGACTGGGCTATCTATTTCCATAAAGATTTACTGCCTTGGAAACACAAAGGTAGTCGCTATGAGTCGGGATCGACTTGATAGCAATGAGTTTGGTGTTTTTACTTTTTTAACCTGGGTATCCAGCTCTGGGCTTGGTTAGGAAACAAACAACAGTGAACTGAAACTCTTCTAATGGTTAGAAATTTCTGCAAGGAAGAGTTTGAAGGTTCAGCTTTGTACATCAAATTGAAATTTAATAAATTGTATCTCACTATCTTCCCACTGTAGTTAAATTCTAAGTTAGCTTTAATTTCATTTCTGTAACATTAACACAAATAGTATAAACTATGAAATACAACAAAAATTGCAGCTGAAATATGAAATTAGTTTAATTTTCACCTAAGAAAACTACAGCTGAAACTACTTTCTGCTATTAAAAATAACACAAAAACAAACCTGTTGCCAATGAGTTGATGCCAACTCACAGAGACCCTATAGGACAGAGCAAAACTGTCCTATAGGGTTTCCAACGCTGTAAATCTTTGACCTAATGCAAACCATTGTATTTTTAATTATCTCAACGCATGGTGAAGTTGGACAATGAATAAGGAAGATTGAAGAAGAGTTGGTAGCTTTGAATTGTGGTATTGGTGAAGAATTCTGAAAATACCAAGACTGCCAGAAGAATAAACATATATCTGTCCTGGAAGAAGTACAGCCAGAATGCTCCTTAGGAATGAGGTTGGCCAGACTTAGTCTCACCTACATTGGTCACACTGTCAGAAGGGACCATTCCCTGGAGAAGAATATCATGCTTGGTATAGCAGAGGGTCAACGAAAAACCAGAAGACCCTCAATGAGATAGATGGACATGATGGCTGCAAAAATGCAATCAAGGATTGTGAGGCTGGCGCAGGACCAGGCAGTGTTTTAGTCTGTTGTACACAGGGTCACAATGAGTCAGAGCCTACTCAACAGCACGAAACAACAAAAAATTTTTACAGAAACAGACTGCCATGTATTTCTCCTGTGGACTGGCTGGTGGGTTCAAACCACTAACATTTTGGTTAGCAGTTGAGTGCCTAATCACCAGGGCTCCTAACTTTTATGCTACAAGGGCAACTAACTCAATAAATACATCTTCCAAGAGAGGTTTGATTGGGAGTGGGGGAGGCTTCTATAGCAGAGCACACATATCACACTTTGTCTCCCTGGAATTGGAATTTATTGATTTAAGATGATGAAAGAATCAAAAGACAGGATCACAAAATCTTTGTGGAAAAGTCCCATTTTAACGATTTGGTCATACAGTGCAGTGAATTGTTTAATATGGCCCTTGGGAGCTCTGGTGACATAGTGCCTAAGACATTTGACTGCTAACCAGAAGGCTGGCGGTTCAAACCCACCAGCCACTCCTCGGAAGGAAGGTTGGGCAATCTACTTCCGTAGAGATACTGCTTCAGAAACGCAAGGAGGGCTCTCCATGAGTCGGCTACGACTCGACAGCAATGAGTTTGGTTTTGGTTTGTAGCTGTAGTCCTCCATTTTGTAATGTATTGTAGATCCTAGTCTCTGTGTCTGTTTAGGGTGGGATTATCTTGAGTCTTGCCAGGCTGGAGGGTGTGACTCAAGTCACCACCCTTAGTTCCTTGAGGGTAAATATGTGAATGTTCTGGGAAAGTTCTCTCTTTTGCTCCAGTCTTGCCTTTTGATCATCATCATGTCACCCATGGACCTGAGACAGCAGCTGATCATCTGATCCGCCAATTTGGGTTGCCAGCCCCTACAACCACGTGAGTGAGGGGAAACCTCCAGATCGACACATGGACCTGGGACTTGCCAGCCCCGGCCTCCACCACCCATGAGCCCTTTCCTTGGCAGTTTGTGAGTCCTGTGAGACTTCACAGTGAAATATGGAACCCAAAGGCAGGAAGGGCAGTACTGAGGGGAGGAGGAGGAGCTGATGTTAGATGATGGAGTTGGCACAACAGTTTGGAAAAGTTGGACATTTGGGACAACTTTAACCTCCACTTCATAGGGACCAGCCTTGTGTTGATCCTTCTAAAGGAAACTATTCAAACAAGCTGAGTCATTCAATGTATTAATATCAAACAACAGGCCTTTGATGTGCTTTTGTTTTTAAAAACGTCACCAGAAACTACCATAAAAAGTGAAAGCTGGAGATATTTGAGAAGATAGGAAAGGCGGTAGAGAAGGACTCACTGACTATTTACATTTAAGCTTTCTTGGGGTCTCCACCTTCAGTCCCCACCCATCTCCTTCCTCTGTCACCCACTAAGATGCCCCTTGTCACCCTCTCCATGTTCTGATCAGGCCCCTGACTCATGTCCTCCTCAACCATCAACTCTGCACATAAACTGGACCATGCAGCACAACCTCCTCTGGTACTGCTTTCTACTAAACACATCAGTTAATCCACTGGAGAAAGACTAGCATAAGAGCCTCTTCCATAGGGTTTTTCTTTACACACCATTAAAAATCACTTCTTACACAAGATCCAGAAAGCACTGGAGCAACCCTGGACTATGTCAGAGCCTTAATATTAAAAAAAGCAGTCCTGTACATGGAAAGGGCTCTCTTTACAAGGAGTAACGATAAACATAATGAAAAAATAACGATAAATGGCTATCGATCGGTACCAGTGAGTTCCTGATGAGCCGTCACAAGTAGAAAACTCTGATACCTTGTCTCCTGACAGCAACTTTTATGAAATTACTAATATTTATTCTCTAGAAACATCTGACAAGTGGTGAAACTAAATGTTAGCGCTCATTCAAATGCCAGTAATGTGGGGACAGGAGAAGGGCTACATCATCTAAGCTTCTGTATTTGAATTTAGAAAATAATTTCTAAAATCAAGAATAGTTTCAATTAGTAGATTAGAAATTGCTAAATTCACATAAAACTTAAACTATCTCTAATATTAAGGGAAGACATTAGGCTCCATCATGAGAGCAGCTGTGCATATGCGCTTACCCGCATTTCTGGCACCATTTGTATCTGCTTGGCTTTGTTATTTCCTTCCCTTTCTACTCTTGGTGACTACTATTTTGTTGTATTTCCCAACAATAACCTACTTTAAAATATTCCCAGCAGGAAGAGAGAATACAAATAGCATAAACATACTAGCACATTTACAGCCGAAGCGATGAAAGTTAAATACAAAGACGTGCTTTCAGTTACAGAAACATTTAACAAGTAGTTTTAGGAGGGAGGTCCCAGGCTTAGGTACAGTTCCTAAGCAGATCTTGTTGACCTCTGGAACAGCTTCCCGAATTGGGATTATATTAAATCTATTTACTTGTTTACAAAAAGACATGCGTATTGTGTTGTTAATCACTCTAATAAAGAGGAACTGGGGATGGAGATGGCAGGTCAGGCAACAGCCTGACCATGCAAATCTCTACTTCCGCTAATCATTTTCAAAGACATGTTGCAAAAACAGGTCCGTAGCCTGTAGGAGATCTAAAGCCGTGTTTGCATCACATGGCGTTTCTACAACCTACTCACCATCCATGTCCGAAATAATGCAGGAATGAAGGACTGGTTGGACAGAGTGAGAACGCTGGAGGAGTCCTTTAGGACGTAGACATCGCCAAAATCAATCTGAGTGGGATGTACGTAGATAACTGGGCCTTCTCCAATGGTCTTTAAACGACACGCCTGCATTCCACAAGAGAAAGAACACAGGACTAGATGAAAATGGCTGGCCTTTAAAATCAATTAAAACAAAAATGTCTAGCCATTCTTTAATAAAAAGCAGGGGGATAAAAAGGTGATCATTAAAATTGATATTGCTTCTCACTGGTAAAGAGGGACCTAGGGATGGCCAGGCTGGGTTAGACCTTATCCAATCAGCTGGAATCCCTCCCGAGGGAGGACGAGCACCTTCTCTGGGGCAGCCAACAGCCACACACGAAGGGGGAAAGAGGTCTTGGTCCTCTGGCTCCTTCCTGGTTCTCCAGCCTCACGCACACTTAACACAGGGTTAGGTACCTGCACTGCAGAGTCAGATGTGGCTGCGTTTGAGTCCCAGCTCTGTTGCTTTACCAGCGTGGGGAAGGGCAGGGCCACTGTACACAGAGGTACTGGATGCATCCATTCCTTGCTCTGCTTCCCTGGCCCAGCTCCCCTGCAGGGTACTGTGTCTGCCCAAGAAAGAGGACCACACTCTCACAGTACTGCATCTGCACAGAGGGGGCACCTAGGCTAGTAGGGCCCAAGACTGGCGGTTGTTTCAGGGTTGGCCTGCCTTTACAACACTGCTTTGTACATCAGGTGACTTATCTATGACATTTTACGTGGAATGCAGAAAAGCAAAATACTGGTTTATTAAACTCTCTGTGTGATCAGAATCAGTTCAAGCAAAAGTAAGCTGCCATCACCCTGCGTACAAGTTAAGCAAAGGTCTAGGGAGACAGATTATTGGGCAAACTCCTTTAGGATTCATGATCCATCCTTCTATGTGGCTCAAGCCTTCCCTGCTTCCTCTTCCCAAGCTGGGAGAGAGACTATTTCTCTTAACAGCTTAAGTAGGTTAATGTTGTTGTTGGTGTTGTTATGTGCTGGCAAGTCAGCCCTGACTCATAGCGACCCCTCCTTGGGTTTCCGAGGCAGTATCACTACAGGAGTAGATTGCCCCATCTTCCTTCTGAGAAGTAGGTTAAGATAGGCAGTAAATCCAGTCAACATACAGAAAGCGACCTGGCAAGCAGTCATGTGAACCAGATCTAACAGATCACATGCTGCAAACTAGTGACACCAAACCCAGTTTTATATCAGTAACACACAAGAGCTCTGGTGGCCTAGTACATAAGGCATTTGACTATTCACCAGAAGGTTGGCAGCTCAAACCCACAAGCCACTCCTCAGAAGGAAGGTTGGGCAATCTACTTCTGGAGTGATACTGCGTCAGAAACCCAAGGCGAGGTCACTAAGAGTCGGATCTGACTCGACGGCAGTGAGTTTGGTTTTTTTGGTTTTAACACCCAAGAAGGATATTTAAAAAAAGAAAAAAGAAAGAAAAATCAGATGGGCTAGCCCCTTCCCATCATTGGGGATGTACCTGATATTCAGCTAGGTTTAAGAACAGATGCTATAAACACCCCTACTTTCACGTGTATCAGCAAATAGATTCATTAAATAGCACAGCACTAGTATTTTACAAGTGGAGCATGAAAATGTAAAACTAGAACTACAAACTGGAGGGTATGTGAATATGGCACGTCTTAAATGAAGAAGCTTGATATGTTCCATAAGAAGTCTAACAATTTTAATGGCAATTGTGAAAATCTAGCTCTCACCATAGGAGGATCCTGGCTTCCAAAGGTGGAGATGTAGACTACAGTGGTGACTTCTCCAATGACCTGTGTCTCCAGGGCCAGAGGTATGTCCACAGTGCTGTGGGGAGGGATGATGCCACAAGGGGCGGGGCTTGAGAGCAGCACAGGAGGTGTATCCTCACACACCTGGTGGGAGAGAAAGGCCAAAGGGACAATCACACCCAAGGCATGGCATGAAATACGGCATACTCTTCTCAGTTCCTTCTATGTATGACTTCATTCCTTTCATTGCCACACTAGTTTTCTAGTTAACCTGGCACAAATCTGGAGAGTCATCTTCAGTTTCTTCTTCGTCCTTCTCCCACAATGATTCAGTATTCCAATCCTAATCATGCTACTTCTAATACGGCCAGTCCTTATAATCATCTCTTTCCTGCTTCCCCTGGGCTCCAATATTTATTTAGATCCTCACATCTAACCAACATCATATTAAATTATTTTGAAACATGTGTTGTCCTGAGTCCATGGAGGCTCCTTACAAAGGCATCACTACTCAAGCAAGAATGGCAACGGGCACTCCACTACAGCCAGGAGACAGTTTAGTTAAATGGAGAGTGCACAAGGGCCGAAATCCAGAGCTCACAACCTAGCAAGAGGTATAAACTCTCCCAAACATGAGTTAGTTCCAGACAATAGCTTCCCATTGCTGAATTCCTTAACCAAGCCCCCACACCTCCAGGCTGCACTGCCCCTCCACCTCGCCCCTTCATACTCCACCAATAGAGGCCCTGGTATTTCCTTATCACATTGCACTGCCTCCCACCTCCAATCCTTTGCCCGTGTGGTTACCATTCCTGCAACGCTGTTTCCCTTCAACCTGCTCGGCACATTCATCCTCAGTTACCCTGCCCCCACCTGGGTATCCCCGGGGCTCCGAGGTAGGGCTTTTCCTCTCTCCCCAGGGAGCACCCCCTGCAGCCCTTTCACACAGGATGCACTGTGCAGCACTGTGGCTGTCTATTTGTCCATTTCCCACAGGCTGTAAACTTGTTAGGGTATGACTAGACACCTCCTCTACATACCCACTTCCTGGCCCAAAGGAGATGCTCAATACATTTTTGTTTAATTGAGGAGAGATTCACTTAAAATAAACTAACCATTTAAAAGTGAACAACTCAGTGGCATTTAATACATTCAAATGTTGTACAACTTCTACCTCTATCTACTTCCCAAACGTTTTTATCACCCAAAAGCAAACTAGTACCCATAAACAGTTTCTCTATTCCTCCTTCCATCCCAGTCCCTGGCAACCACCACTCTGCATTCTCTTCATGGATTTACTTATTCTGGACATTTCATATCAATGGAATCATATGCCACATGGCCTTTTGTGACTGGCTTTTTTTCAGTCAACATAAGTTTCACCCATGTTGTAGCATATTTCAATATTCCATTCCTTTTTATGACTGAATAATATTCCATTATTCATTATCTCCGAAGTAGTACATTCCAAGACAGCATTTTTCAAGACTAACAACATATTCTTTTTTCAACACCATAAGCAGTAACTATATATGTAGCCCTCACAAGACAGAATACACAGGAATTCAACAGACCACATCTGTGGAAAGAGAAGCAGCCCAATATCACCAGTCAGAACAAGGCCAGGGGACAACTGGAGAAGAGACCATCAATTGCTCATACACAAGTTCAAGCTGAAGCTGAAGAAAATTAAAACAAGTCCATGAGAGCCAAAATGTGACTCTGATTATATCCAACTTGAATTTAGAGACCATGTGAAGAATACATTTGATGCGCTGAACACTTGGACACAAAGAGACAGTCATTCAAACATAGCAAGGAGATAATGGATGGTTTAAAATCAGGAAGAGTGCATATCAGGGTTGTGTGCTTTCACCATGCTTATTCAGTTTGCATGCTGAGCAAATAATCTGAGAAGCTGGACTATATTAAGAAGAATGTGGCATTGGGATTGGAGGAAGACTCATTAATAGACATACAAATGACACAACCTTGCTTGCAGAACGTGAAGAAAATTGGAAGCACTTACTGATAAAGATCAAAGACTACAGACTTCAGTATAGATTACACCTCAAAAAAAAAAAAAAAAAAAAAAAAGTCCTCAGAGCTGGACCACTAAGCACCATCAGGCTAAATGGAGAAAATACTGAAGTTGCCAAGGACTTCATTTCACTTGGATCTGCAATCAACACCCATGGAAGTAGCAGTCAAGAAATCAAACAATGTATTGAATCAGGCAAATGTACTGCAAAAGAGCTCTTGAAAGTATTAAAAAGCAAAGATGTTACTTGGAGGACTAATGTGCTCCTGACCCAAGCCACAGTATTTTTCAATTGTCTCATATGCACATGTGGGAGCTCTGGTGGCATAGTGCCTAAGGCACTTTACTGCTAACCACAAGGCTGACGGTTCAAACCCACCAGCCATTCCTCAGAAGGAAGACTGGGCAATCTACTTCCATAGAGTTACCACCTCAGAAAACCAGGGAGGAATCGTTATGAGTCGAATTGCCTCGATGGCGGTAAGTTTGGGGTTTTTTTTTTTTTTTTTGGTATATGCATATGAAAGCTGGACAATGGATAAGGAAGACTGAAGAATTGATGCCTTTGAATTACAGTGTTGGTGAAGAATACTGAATAACCATGGACTGCCAGAAGAACAAACAAATCTGTCTTGGAAGAAGTAAAACCAGAATTCTCCTTAGAAGTGAGGATGGTGAGACTACGTCTCACGTATTTTTGACATGTTGTCAGAAGGGACCAGCCCCAGGAGAAGGACATCACGCTTGGTAAAGTACAAAGTCAGGAAAAAAGAAGACCCTCAATGAGACGGATTGACACAGTGGTTGCAACAATGGGCTCAAAGAGAACACTCTGAGGATGGCACAGGGCTGGTTAGTGATTGTTCTGTTGTACGTGGGCTTGCTCTGAGTTGGAACTGATTAGATGGCACCACGTGACAGCAACAATGTTCCACTGTATGGACATACTACATTTTGTTTATCCATTTATCAGCTAATGAACATCAGGTTGTTTCCATCCTTGGCTATTGTCAATAATGCTTCTATGATCATTCAGACACATATCAACACAGGTGTTTTAAATGAGGGAATGACTGTAGTTCACTATTTACCAGTATGTGTCACTCAGAACCCTATTCCACAGCACATCACTAGCTTTTATACAACAACAATGATTTCACAGGGGTGGGTTTATGTCCGTTCCTCGTATGACTTAGATTTCCAGATGACAAGGATTACTGGTTACTCTGAACATGATTCATTTTTGTCAAGTTCCCATTTAAAATACAAAATACAATGACAAGATCTCAAGACACAGTTCAGACTGCTTTGACTGGTGGGTATGTCTTCCTTCAGTTGAAGCTGCTTTTGTTCTGTGGTCCCCATACTACTCCTTTAACTCATTGAACTTGTAGTCAAATAAAACCTCCGTGTGATTATTGTGGCATGGATTTTGACTAGAGTACCGTATTGATATAACTGAATTTTAAACCAAAATGTAGTTTTGATTAATTGCACCTCATTAGTAACTTCCATTACTTTCACCTGTACAGATTATTTTGAATCTTTTATCTATATGTGCTTAACTTTTTAGTCTCCCTACCTAGCTAGGTAGGAGCTCTGGTAGCATAGTGGCTAAAGCACTTGACGGCTAACCAGAAGGCTGGCAGTTCAAACCCACCAGCCACTCCTCGGAAGGAAGGTTGGGCAATCCTACTTCCGTAGTGATACTGCCTCGGAAACCCAAGGAGGGGTCGCTATGGGTCAGGGCCGACTCGACAGCACATAACAACAACAACAACCTAGCGAGGTGTCGTGGCATGTAGAAAGATAAATTTCATAAAATATTAAAGTATAATTCCTCTTTCCTCAGTCTTCTAGCCTTCTGGTCCCACAAGTCCATTGATAAATATTGCATCACTGTATCTTAGTGAGGAGCAGCATAGTGCCTGAGGCATTTGACTGCTAACCAGAAGGCTGGTGATTCAAACCCACCAGCCACTCCTCGGAAGGAAGGTTGGGCAATCTACTTCCATAGTGATAGTGCCACAGAAACCCAAGGAGGGGTCGCTATGAGTTGGATCCACCTCTACGGCAGTGGGTTTGGTTTGGTTTTAGTATCTTAGTGATGCTTTTCAAGTCAGAGCCACGGACATAAGTGGAAACTCCTAGCTCTGCTTCCTTCTCCAAGTGTGGTTAACTCCCAGGCAATTATTTCCAGGTGCTACTTCTATGTGTTGGATTAACTGACCCTTCTGCTTCTTTATCAAGGACAGTTTCCCTGAGAAATTAACCACGGTGTGCACCTGCAGTTCCTCACACATGCAGATGGCCATCAGCTGTGGTTTTACAACATCCTGAGATTATCCGAGGGTTAAAAATCCGAATTACATAAGGTCATATGTTGAGGAATATGGCTCTTTAGGAGAATTTCTCTTTCCCACTGAGTGACTCCAACTGAAAAAAATTCACACTGACAGAGGATGAAAGAACTGACCTGAGGCAGAACCTCATAGCACCCGGGGAGGTTACCATCGTTCACAAGCTGGATCGTTTTCTCATAGGGGTACTTGAGGAAGCAGCGCCCAAAGTTCACCTCAGTATTCGCCACACGAAGGGTGGGTACAACACACCTGTTGGAAGGAGCCCACTGAACAATTCAAAAGGATACAGAGCTTGTTTGCATACAAAGAACACAGAGTCCCAAGTGAAACACATTTGTCATTGTCACACAGTGGTTTTTCTCTAATAACTACATTAATCATTTTCAAATCTTCTCAATCATCCCTCTACCTTAGGTCCCAGTCACTACTTTTTTTAAAAAAAAAAAAAA